CTCAATGTCATGTCTCATTTGCAATGAGCTCCTTCATCATCACATGTGTGTGTTTTGCAACATCTCGAAGCCATTTTCACCTTCATGGCATATGTTGCTCATACACATGTACCTATGGACTAATCACCTGTGTATCTCACATAAACACAATTAGTCCACCTAGGTTGTCACTCAATTACCAAAACCACACAAGGACCTTTTAGGTAGGCATGGTTGGTGCATGGGCTATCCATGAGCTTATCGAAGTGGTCAGGCAGGCCTTGCTGGGGCTGCTTGCCCGTGCGATCATCTGCTGCGACCAACGCGGAGTTGGACGCTCAGGCAGCCAAGCTTATGGATCAGGGACTCACAGGTTGTCCCGGAGAGGAATGCGCTGATGACGTCCACGTCGACGACATCAGGAAGGGAGTTACACCGCTTCGAGAACCTACGGATGTAATCCCGTAGGGAATCGTTGGCCTCCTGCTAGTAGCTCTTGAGGTCCCAGGAGTTCCCAGGGCGGGCATACATCCCTTGGAAATTCCTGACGAAGACCCTCTTGAGGTCCGCCTAGTCGCGGATGCTGTTGTGCGGGAGGAATTCGAGCCACGCTCGAACATGTTCCTCCACGCAAATGGGGAGGTACTGAATGATGAAGTGATCATCATCCACTCCCCTGGCTCGGCAGGCGAGCCGGAAGTCTTCGGACCATATACCGGGATTCGTCTCCCTGATATATTTGGCGATGTTGGTCGGCGGTCGGAAGCGCTGTGGGAACGGCGCTCTCTGTTTGCGTCGGCCAAAGGCCCGTGGTCCTAGGACATCCGGGCTGGGACTCCAGTCGTCTGGCCGACGACCATGTCTGGGGTGCATTTCACCGCTCCCCTCGATGGTCCGGCTAAGGTCCATGTCGCCTGCCGCCCGACGGACGTCATCATTATGCCGGACCCGACGTCGGTTGCTGATGACGTTGCGAGTGTCTTGGTTTGGCCCGAGGCGTTCGAGCACAGGCGGCCGGTGTGGAGCGGGCGCCAGGTCAGGCCATGGTGCAACTGCGGCCTCCTGTTCCGTGTCTGGTGGCTGCAGCGGTGAGTGGATGGAGTGATTCGTCTGGTGCGTCCCCACTCCCCTGGTGGGAAGAGAGGCCGCGAGTTGGTCGCGCGACGCGAAGCTCTCCACCTGTTGAATGATGGCGGTTTCCACAAGGGCCTGGAGGTTCTGGTGGATCGCCTATTCCTAGGTGTTGTCCGGCTTGGGAAGGCCGTGCAGGAGCATCACCGCCGCGACGATGTTCTGGCCAGCCCGAGCGAACTGTGGGGGATCGTTCCCCCTGTCGATGATGTTGCGCTGGGCGTGGCGGGCGTGACCCCAGGCACCGCTCGCCGGGTTACGTGAACTAGGCGCATCGTGGTGCGCCGAGCGCGCCGGCGCAGGTGGACACTGGTTCCGCCGCCTTTGTCGTAGCTCCTCACTGTGCTCCTAGGCACACACGAGGGCATCCACCCGAGGGTCTAGAGGGGTGTAGGTGTAAAGAGACTCCACTACCACTGGCGGCTGTCCCGGGGCGTCCGTCATAGCGTACTCCCGGGACAGAGGGTGGCTAGGTGCCACGACATCATCGATGCTGGAGCCGTCGCTCTCAACATCGTCATCCATGAGGTCGTGAAAAGAGGCGGGAGCGTAGCTCGCCATCCCCACGAATTTGGATGTGAGAGGGAGGGGGCCAGCATCCTTCGGAGCCCCCGGGTGTACACGTCCGCAGGGGACGCGAGGTCATAGGGGAACCGGTCGCATGGCGGTCACAGCAGGGACAACATGGTCCCTCCGAAGAATCGGTGAAAGACAGTAAATAACAAAGCGTATGTTACTCACAGTTGGGTTTGAGCCCGGTGCGGGCTCAGAGCGAAGCGCAGGCGCTTCGTCGTTGAGGTCGCCGGGAGTTCCAGAGCCGACAGAGGACGCGCCTCCTCCGACGGGCTCCGGAACAAGTGCCTCCTCACGGAGGCGCAGCACGCTGAGCCGATCGGCGATGAAGTCTAGGCTTTCGAAGAGGAAGGCCTAGGACGGCTCGAAGACGGGTGGAACCCACATCCTAATAGGTGAGAGTGCGGGAAACTCTAGTGAGCCGAAGCGAGTCGTATCGCTTGAGCCCGCCATGGCAAAGGTGGCAGAAAAGTGGGCCATCCGATTACCAAAAAGCGTGAACGTACGACGTCTTCCCCACGGACGGCGTCAACTGTCGGTGCAGAAAGTGACAAACACGTAAATATTTATAGTTTTACCGTACGTTGTGATCGGATATGGCCTAGCACTCAATGACACAGGGTTTATACTGGTTCAGGCAACATGCCCTACGTCCAGTTTGAGTCGGTCGATGACTTTATTCCTAAGCCCAGTGCTGCTGAAGTTTGCTGTGGGGTTACAAACGAGAGGGAGAAAGATGGGGGTGCAAGAGGTCCGGTCGGACTCTGGACCGAAGGGCCAAGAGAGACGGGAGCTCCTACATGCGCTAAGTATTTGAGCGTGTGCTCTGTGTAGCTTTAGAGTGTCTAAAGCTAGCAGAGGGTGAATTGTCTAAAGCTAGCGTTTGCCTGGTATGGGAATTGATGGCGCCCACAATACTGTGGGGCAAACGTCGGTGCCCACAACACCGCTTGGGTTCTGACATGCCTAGAAGGTGGTAGGGCACCCATTCTGACATGCCCTATCGGTACTGTGCTGCAGGTCCACAGGGTACGATCATTGGTATTGCGGTTTGTCTTGAGCGCCCTGCTTTACTTGCTTCGCCCGTTTTCTAGGTCCTTACCGAGCGGGCGTCCCCGGTCGATTGGTCACAGTCGGCTCCGACTACGTCAGTCGGAGAAGAGCTGTAAGCAGAGGTTTGGCGTATCCCTAGTGGGAGACGCGGGTCAGAGTCGGAAGCGAGGCCTTCCGGTCGGAGAGGCGTGTCGAAGTCGGAAGCGAGCGTCGTTCCTCTTTGGGCAGGCCTTCCGGCCGTAGAGGCGGGCCGGAGTAGGAAGCGAGGCCTTCCGGTCGGAGGGGCGGGCCAGAGTCAGAGGCGAGCGAGCGTCGTTCCTCCTTGGCTAAGCCTTCTGGTCGAAGACTGGATCGCCCTTTTGGCTTGTCGTTAGGTTTATGGGCCGGCCCAGGAGTTGCGCGTCGTTCGCAACATCGTCTTCTGGGCCGAGCCTTTGCTGGAAAGCAGGCCCATGAGGAACCCCGGGTTTATGAACCCGACAACTAGAGTGGATATAGCGGAGATTCGGAGGTTCTAGGCTCAATGAGAAAAAAAAAAATAAATTTTCCTATAAGAGCCTTTAGAACAAATGATTGAATGAATCTTACAAATTCCTATGAAATTCATATGGAGTGAACTATAACTTTTGGAGGAAAATATGCATGAGTTAACTTTTCTACATTCTGGTTTCCTATAGGATTTTAATTGCATTTTCCTATTTTGTATTTTGACTTTTTGAGAATCCTGTGCTGCAAAGATGGTTATTCCTGCATTTTGAGAATCCTGTGTTCTAAAGATGGCCTCAGAGAATTATGTGTTCCGAAGATGGCCATAGAGGGTATTATGAACCAAATGGGAAGATGGCCTTGGAGAGGATTACGAATGAAATGGAAACTTTAGGAATCATGTATTTTTATGTAGTTTTTTTATTCCTATATTTTTGCGAGTCTGTGTTGTAAAGAGGGAGCATCTCCAGGAGTTTCTCCCAATCTACTATTTTAGTAAGATTGGAAAATAAAATCATCCCCAACAACTCCTAAGAGCATGTCCAAGAGACTTTCTAAATCTCACTCTCTAAATCATCATTTGGAGAGTCATTTGCATAAAAATTGCTTTCGATATCTTTTCACTTTCCAACAGTTTTTCTATATCTTATGCGCGCTCTAGAGAACTATTCTCGTCTTCTATATCTGGCTAGCGAAAAATCCGGAATAGAAGATGGCTATCTTTAGACGACAATTTAGAGAAACTGTTGGATGATAGTTTTTCATCAAAACCTCTATTCCTAGCATTTAGGAAAGATATGAAGAGTCTTTTGAGATGCTCTAATATTACCTCCCAATCTTTTGACTTGGAAAAAATGAGCCGTCTGCATGCAAAAATACATCGCGCGCAAAAATACATCGCCCGAGTTCCAACGACAATTCTCCAGGACCAACTCAACAACTCGGGCGTCGTGCCGGACGACGTCGACTTGGAATGCATCGCAGGCCTCATCCAGATTCCTAGGGCCTGTTTGATATGGAGCCCAGGGGTGTCCCTACGCTCCTAGGCTGCAACCTCGCGTGTTTGATTTCCTGGGCTCACTCGCGAGCCAGGCCGGCCCGGTGCAAAATACGCTCACCCTCATGGCTCCGAGAAACGAAAGAAAGTTCCGGTTCTCTGCGGCCCGGCTCGCTTCAGCGTCAAAGCCCACGCTCGGGTCACCTCCCATCCGTTTCGACTTCTCACCTCCCGCAGCGGCGTACGTCTGGTCTCCGCACGTTGTTCGCGTTCGCCGGCTCGCCGCCGATGCCAAGGCCGCCGCCGCTACAGCCAAGCTGTGCAAGTGCGCGTGCGGCCGCCGCCTCTGCAGCTCCCGTCGCCATGGCCGCGTCCTTGGCTGCTCTCCCCCTCCATTGTCATCCTATCACGGCCGCCTGAAGAAGAGTGCGAGCACCTCGCGGAGACAGGAGGCGAGCTCGGGGACCCTCTCCAGCTCCCGGTGCTCGGGCACCTCGACGTACCTCGCCTGCCTCCGCGCGTACAGGAAGACGCCAGCGAGCAGCGCGAGGCAGAACGCCCGCCAGCGAGTAGCGCGAGGAAGAACGCCCCAACAGCGGCAGCGACGGCAGCCTGAAGGTGTCCAGCGGTGGGGCTGCTGCGCCTTCCATGGCGAAGCTCCAGCCCAGGACGTGGCCGCGCGGGCGAGCAGCGAGCAGGGCACCCCGGCGGCGCAGGCGAGCGGCGAGCAGGACGCGGGGCCCGCGCGGGCGAGTAGCGAGCCATGGCGCGAGCAGCAACCATGGCGCGAGTAGCAGCAGCAGCCATGGCTAGCGCTGCCTGTGCTGGCCGCCGTGGTGGCAACGACGTGTGGCGGGCAGCCCCAGCCGCACGGGAGGAAGCCTCCGAGTCGCGCCTAGCTGGCCGCTCGCGCGGTGGTGCCTCCGCCGCCGCGGCAAGACCGCCTCTGCACCTCAATCCGCCGGCTTCTCCATTCATGGCGCTGGACTAGCTCGCGTCCATGACCTGCTCGATGAAATGCTACTGAGGATTGCTGAGAAGAGAACTAGTGGTAAGGCTACCACATGCTTGTGCAAGGTACTCATACTCTTTCTGTACAGGAAGACAAACACATTCTTAACTCGGCTCGGCTCTACTCGGACATGGAATCAAACAAGGTCACCTGTACCGTCTAGACCTGGCCGTGGCTGGCCTGGGACTGGTTCATGGGCCGAGCCACCCCTGCGCTCCATATCAAACAGGCCCCTAGTATCCTACCATAGTTCCGAGAGCTCCCCGGTGGGCTGCTGAACGCACTGCCGGTGGAGGAGGTGACGCTGTGCCAAACGGAGGATGACTGTGCACGGCTCTGCGGCACCAGGCTGCCGGCACCCAAGGCGGCGCTGCTGGACTGGGCGGTGAACCTCATGGCGGACGTGGCGCGGGAGGAGGAGGACAACAGGATGGGCACGCGCAACGTGCTCACGGCGCCCGGCCACGCTGTGCAGCCCATGAACTTCGTCAACATGCTCATTGAGAGGGCCCTGAAGCACAACCACTAGCCGTCCTCTTGTTCTTCTGCCTCCTGTCCTCGTCAAGGCTGCTTCTGTCACCATCTGATCAACGACGATGGCCATCAATGGATGGTCCAAGTTCCAAGAGATGCTCAGTAGTCATGACGATGTTGATCGATCGCCAGATTAAGTAGTAGCAAGCTGACGATCGACAAAGGTACCATGTAAGTGCTTGTTCTCCGGAAGAAGATGATCGTATTTACAAAAATACCATTGAATGATTGGAATATGCTCTTGTAATATGTTTTTCGGAGTGAATTATTGAAAACTCTAGGAGATTGTCTTATTTATTCCTCCGTCTCAGAAAAAATTGGTAGGGTTCTATATTTTGCGAGTATGTGTTCCGAAGGGGGCCTTACAGGGGATCATGGACAAATTGAAGAAAATTCGGTAGACGAACACAGGAAGATGGGTAGGGGAGGCCGGCAGCGAGAGGAGTTAAGAACTTCTGCAACGCCGCTGCACGGCTGAAGATTCCGGTGCCGGCACACAAGCTGAGCCCGCCTGTCTACCTCGACCATAACTTGCCAGAACAGCACGAAAGCAAATCCCACGGATGCTAGATGGAACCCACGAAAATGATCGTGCGAAAAACAACCCATCACAACTTTACTCAGTTGTCATCGTATGACAAGGAAGCTAAACTGTACCAACTTTACATATAACCAGGTCCATAAAATTATTTGGCAAAGTAAAACCTTCCAACAAAAAATGGAACGTTAAGGGTCATGATTCATTGTAAAAAAACAACACCGGGTGGCCACCCGTCAGCCACGTCAGTCGAACCTGCCTATCATTTATTGACAGATCTGGACAAGACAAGAAATAAAACAAATTCTCAAAAAAATCCTCCATCCAGCACGTAATGCGCAGTGCTGAGGCCTTATAATATACTGACGCCAAAAGAGGCAAATTTTATCTTGTCTTTGCAGACCGTAAACATGGTACACCCGACAGATACATCTAGTAACGGAGCATGTAGGTCCGGCGTCTGAACCAGTTGTAGTCAGGAAGTCCTTGGATTGGTCCCATTGCAGCAATAGCAACATCCTGAAACAAAAAGCATACAAATACAAACTGAAATGTTGTTTTCTCAAGCTTGATATCAAATAATTCAAATTACACAGTTTTATTTTTCCCAAACTGATGACAAAGTAGGTAGGCATAAGCAGCACAACATGAAAACGTTCAGAGTACACTCCTATCACTAGAGGTCTATCACAAAAACAGCATGATATAAATATTAACAACAAAAAGGGTACATCTTAAATAATGAAAGCTGGAATCAAGCAATGAAAAATTGGGCTTGTTTTTAGCACTTTACCAGAGAAGGAATCATACAGATGCTGAAAATTCTACAGGACAAGAGGTTAGGTTGGCAAAACAGTACCTGATCAAAGATGAAGCGATTTGCAACCCGCTTCACAGTGCTTGCATCAACAGCATCTATTCTTGCAAAAAGCTCGGGAGTAGGAATTCTCCGGCCATAGGTCAGCAGCTGGCACAACAGGGGAACGAAAGTAAGGTACAAGGTGCTGAGCACTAAGATTTGGCATAACATAATTGTTTTTAAACATCAAAACAATGGAGCAAGATAATACCTGACGGCCAATGTCCTCGACAACAGCAGTTGAACCATCTAGGTGGAGTTGGATTGAGGACTTCAGCTGAAATTGTCATCACAAAGCAATGAACATGTGATACTAGGCTGAAAATTTTCTAAGGACCAATCACATGCCAGCATATCAATGAAAAAATTATCATAAGGCTATGATTGTCTCTCGAGCCCAAAAGAAAGAGAACAGCATACACCATGCTTTGTAGCATGCAGTGTCTGAGTAAACTGAGATACAATACGTGTATGACAATGTTCTCCCATAACAACTTCGAACATTACCTGATTACGTGCACGGATAACATCTTCTTCCGTAACCCGATATGACAATTTGCTCATCTCATGCATAATTGCAAAAGCCAAATCATCCAAGCAATCAGCCTGAAAAAACAAGTTCGCAAGGTCACGTAAGATCAATGATCGTCAGGAAAAGGAAGGCATGCTATTGCATAAGAGCAACATCACAAGATTACAGTACCACTGCATAAGCAAAAATTAAGGTTCACAACAGGATGGGCAAGCTACATTAACATACAAATAGAAGTTTTATTCGTTTGAATATTTTACAGTAGATTTACCAAGTACACAGGATGGGGGCCCAATATTTTAAATTTTAGTAGAAAACGAAGCTCCCTCTCTTTTTATTGTTTACACGGAGAAGAAAGGACCTTCAGTTTGGTATCTAAATAAAGATCAGAAATTCAGAATGAAACCACCTTTGGTCATCAAAAGCTATCAGAGCAATGGTCATACAAAATGCTAATTACTTGTTTCCACTAAGTGTAAGGTGTTAGAATTCGTACCAACAACATTGTTGTCACTAACAGACCCAGCTGCAACACCTTGTGGGCCGCTTAGGTACAAGTTTGTGTGAGCTGGGAAAATTTAATATGAAGAAAAGGCACAACAACACTACAAACATATCTAGAGAATGTGGACAGTGTGTATCTAAGGCCTGTTTATTTATCTTACCATTCAAGGAATTCTAACAAATAAAATAGCTGTGGGTACAAATTTCTTTCATGACAACGGATATGGACGACATATATGACTACACAAAATGTATAGGATAAAATATTATTTCAGGTGATTTATGTCGACTATATCAAAGGTAGAAAACTAGAAATACAACACTAACCTTAGCAACAGCATAGACACCAAAAAGACCAGTGTCCTTGTAATTCGTGTTGAATGCCATTACACTCTCAGCAATGTCATTGATTGCTGCCCTCTGTACAAGCTCTGAACTGTAAACAGCAAAGCAGGGTAACATAACAAAGATATGATCAGTAACAGAATATGGAAAAATGAGGATGAGGCCTGTACACATGATGGCAAAAAGAAAGAACGAGAAAAAAGAGTGAAACTTACCCCATGTGCTTTCCTCCACCAGCACTCTTGTTCCATGAACCAAGCATTGATTGCATAACCATCAGTGCAACAGAATCAGGATCTACCCATGATGCTCCATTGAAAGCAACAGCAAATTGAGCTAAGGGCATGTCATCATCAATGATTCGAACCTATCGAGAAGCATACAATGATGAGATATGACAAATAGCAGAACTAAGTATAGAGCGAACATTGCAGAACCCACCTCAGAACCAGTAAAAGAGGCTGGTTCCTTAGCGACCAACATGTTTGCCGATGTAGGATCAGTTGATAGCTTATTGAACAACTTCTTTGCCTGCTCAACAATGTCTTCATGTTTAACATTACCTGCAGCAGTGATAACCTGAAAACATGCAGAGGTACTTCCATCACACTCCAATAACAGGAACATAAAATGGCACAGATGCGTCGCAGATGAAAATTTCAAATATGATGTACCATTCTAGGAGCTGTATAATGAGTTGCAATGTAATTCTCGAGGTCCTCTTTGGTGATTGATTTGACATTATCTGCAGAACCCAGGATTGGTCTGCCAAGAGATGTATATTGGAATGCAGTTGCATGGAGATGATCAAATATAACTTCCTCAGACTGTCCCTCAACCTATGTAAGGAAGAAACAGACAGAACAATTATGTTAAAAGAATTTCATAACACTGAACACACAGATTTTACTATACAGAACACCTTGGCTGTTTGATCAAATTGAGAATTACTAACAAGCAAAAGCGATGCTAAGGGTTGATAAATATAGTGAGCAAAAGGATCCAAAACAGGTTGCTTAAGAGACTCAGGTATACTGATAACACCCTGATATGAAGTGATGATGTGTGCATCAGCTAGATGTATTCAACTCTTTCATCTCCTTGCCTGCTTGGAAAAATATTTTTCACTCGGCTCTTTTAACTTCTCAGCAAGTTTAAGAGGAACAAATGCCAAGCAGACTACTCACCTCCCTTCCTCACTCTAAATTTTCCAGACAATTCTCCTATGTCAAAATGCATAGTCCTCTTCATGATATAGCTTTAGGATTAGTAGAAATGCTAAGTTGCTAACAACAAACCAGAAAGATCTATTCATCACACACCATAGAACACATAGTGCATCTTATCTGAGGTAAATAAAACCAGCTACTTTAAGATAACAAAAATTGTCTCGATAAAAAGTTTAACATGGCTGATAAACTTATAAAGCACAAAAATGAGAACTTTGAATAAACAGATATCTACAAGACTACAAATCAGGGTGCATACCTCCTGCATCTCTCGTAGGATCACTTCGCGCTCACTTTCAATGCGTTTCTGGTCGAGATTAGAGTTCTGCAGGATGTCCGCGAGGACCTCCATCGCACGGGGCACGTCCTTGTCAAGCACCTTGGCGTAGTAGGTCGTCTGCTCCCGCGACGTGTACGCGTTGAGGTGGCCACCCATGTCCTCGATCTCCTGCTCCAGCTGCGCGGCGCTGCGCTTCCCCGTGCCCTTGAACAGCATGTGCTCGACAAAATGCGCGACGCCGGCCGCCTCTTCGTTCTCGTACCTGCTGCCCGCATCGATCCACACGCCGACCGTAGCCGTGCGCGCGGCGAGGGACGACTCCGTGGCGACGCGCAGGCCGTTGGGCAGCGTGGTGACCCGGGTCTCCGGCGCCGCAAGGATGGCCGTGTGGTCGGCGTGGGACGGCACGGGGCTGGCGTAGCGGAGGAAGCGCGGGTCCGGGTGCTCGAGCCGCCGGAGCCTGGCGTTGACGGCCTCGGCGATGCGGTCATACGGCAACACGGGAGCGCGCACCGGGGTCGCGTCGGGGGCGAGCACGCCGGGCGCCGCGGCGACGGCCGTGGAGGCCTCGCGCGCGTTCCCGGCCGCCGCGGCGGCGACGGCCGAGCGGCGGCGCACCGCGGTGGATAGGATGCGGCGGAACGCCATCGTGGCGGATCTGATGCGGTGCTCTCGCCGGCGGCGGCGGAGGCGGAGATCTGGCTGGACTAGGGTTTGGGCTCGGATGGATCGGTAGGAGAAGGGGAGGAGAAATAGAGAGAGGGTGGAGAAGATGCCTGGCTGCCAAGGGCGGAAAGAGAAGCCCTGGTGCGCGTAGCTTAGCTTACGGGGGACCCACGTGTCATAGAGAAGAGGCTATTGAAGCGTCTCGCTCTCGCGGAATGAAGACTGATTAAGGGCCGGTTTGTTTCCGCTTATAAGCGGTTAGTCGGTGGAAATAAGCGAGAATTCCCGCCAAACGTTTTGTTTATTTCTACCGATTCTCACTTATGTGGTAAGCCGCTTTAGATATTTGAACTACGAGAAGCGAAAAGCGAGAAGCGAGAAAATCTTCACTTAGATTATAATCCAAGCGTGGCCAAGAGAAGTGGAAATTTCCGCTTATAAGTGGCTTGTCGGTGGAAATAAGCGAGAATCCCGCCAAACGCTTCGCTTATTTTCACCGATTCTCGCTTATGTGGTAAGCCACTTCAGAGACTTGAACTACGAGAAGCGAAAAGCGAGAAAATCTTCGCTTAGATTATAATCCAAGCGTGGCCAGGAGAAGTGAAAAAAACGGTCCCTAAAGCTAGACATGGTTGCTCCGCGTCGCAAAAAAAAAATGTTGCTCTGAAAGCCTCGGGCCTCGGCCGTGCCTGAGCAGGCTGGGCCTAGTCTAACACAGATTGAATGAATCCATTGTGACTTGTGAGCTCCTTTTGTTTTCATACGAGATTTCAAGTGATACGCTTTTTTATATATATTTTTTGCGAATCACGTACGCATCCTTACCCCCCCCCCAACACAGTACGCAAACTCTACTCCTCTAAAAGACTTTGCCGGCATATTTCGAAATTGACGAAGTCACACAAGCACCAAGCTGTCGACCGTCAATGCATCTTGCTCAATAAGTTTTTTTTTCCAGTTATAGCTATGTTCGTTTCGCTGAAATTTGGCTCATTAACGATTTGTGTTGCTCATAAAACAGTTTTGTTCGCCCGAGGAATTGAGTGTACATCAAATGAACACGTTAGAGTGCAGAAATTGAATTGTTCAAAGTATCAGTTTGCTACACTTCTGCACATATTGTTTCAAATAAAAAACACTTCTGCACATACACCACCAAATCAGCAACATATTACTTGACTATTCCATATAAAAGCACACTGGGACTACTCGCTTATGCTGATGCTTATGCTAAAATGTTGTGAGAGGAAAACTCTTCTATAGCTAAAAAGTAGCTCAAGCAAACATGGCGCGCGGTCTCTCGTGCCTAGCGGGCAAGAACCAATACTGAAGTCAATAATATACCACCGAAATTCATCTTTGAATTTCTTTATCAGTTTCTTGGACAACAAATTTTCAACCTTGGTGGGATTGCATCTGAAGCACAGAGCCAGCGATTTGCATATGCATGTACATAACAGAACTTAGAGGCGAGGCGATCCAAGCAAAGCTAGAAAAACACGCCTGATAGCAATTTCTTCACATATGGAAGGAGAAGACTACTCAAGAATGAATAAGACGAGGACAGGTGGAAACAGTTGTTGGATCATGTGTGTCGATGCTCTGCATTTCTCGATTGCCATAGTGGATATTGGCACTGCTGTTGAGGATTCAGCTTTCCAAGCTCCATACATCGCTGTCGACAGTAACTGTCAGCCACCATTGACACATAATCAAGCATGGTGAGCATGCTTTGCACAGATAAATAAATACAGGGCTCGGGAAACAAGTTTTATGCACAAATATGTCAACTTAGTTATATCTTTTGACACTAAAAACTCACCAGGATAGCTTTTCTGGCCTGAGGTGGAATTTCGGTTCCACAGGAACTGTACTCGGTTTTGTCGACCTATGCAGATAAAACGGATAAAAAATTAACCGTTAGTTGTGTAAATGACAATGCATCTCTCAAGTATTGAGGTAAACCAACAGTACTGTGAAAGGTTACAAAAAAGATAACTTGTCGAGCCTGTAGTGAGTCAAAATATAACTTGGTCATCACCTTTTGGGGATGAAGGGGCGGTCAAAGTATGGCATGGGTTGAGCTTTAGGAATCAGCTCAGTCCTCCTCAGTTGCCTAATCCTTTCTTCTTCCTCTAATTCCTGTTGCCTTTCCCATTCTAGCCTTTGTTGCTCAGCGAACTTGTTCCTCTCCAAAACCTAAATTCTCAAAACGAACATGATTAAATATATTAGGTACATCAATTAACTCCATTGATATTACATCTCAGATAGTAAAGTATGTAAATGAGTTTTTAAGAGGCTCACATGATGATCAAATTCTGCACGTTCAAGTGCACGCATATCGCTATGCAAAACAAGGTCTATCGGCTCCGTTCTTTCTTTGACTGCAGGCTTTATCAAGCACTGAAATGGAGAGAATGAGTAAAAAAATCGCCATTTTACCAAGATACTAAAAACAAAAACTTTGCAGTCCCAAAGAAACATCAGGCAATTATATATTTATATTCCATAGAACTTTGATACTATTTCGACTTTCCTAAATAAGCTATTGCCGTGAGAAGAATAAGAACATTCATATAGGTAGTAATTTCCCAATCAATCTATGGTCACATGGACATATGCTAAGTTGTTGACACAAGCCCTCTTTCAAGAAAAGTTAGTATACCTCGGGTTCATCGGTAGTCCATGGCAATCCTTGCGCAATATGAATACGCTTTTTCTCTTCCTCTACAAGCATCTCTTGAACCTTTTGAACGAACTGTTGTTCTTTAAATTTTCCCCTTTGCTGTCATAAAGAACATGGTGACTGAATTTTCACAAACTAGCTGAAGAAAGTACGTCAACTTATAGGACATGAGTCATGACTGTGACAACACTGAGGATGCGCTATTACCTCAGTCCTCAACTTGAATGGATGCTGGCTAGTGACCTTGAGCTTTTTGTTCCAGCTGCTCCTTAGTGACTCAGATGACTGCCAGAGGGCAAGCATGCATTCAGATATTAGAACATGCTCTAACATGACCCAAACCAAATAGAAACTAAACCTATGCCAGGCTTACGTTTCTCCTGCTCCTGCGCCCGCCCGCCGATGTTCTGGTCCTTAGTGACTCAGCTGACTGTCAGAGAGCAAGAATGTATTCAGATATGAGAATATGCTCCACAATGACCAACCCAAAAAAACTAAAAACTATGCCACGCTTACGCTTCTCCTGTCCCTGCGCTCGCCAGCCGATGTTCTGCTGTCCCAGCTCAACCTAAAATGGGTGACAAACTGTGATCAGAAAATTGCATTTGAGTGAAAATCATAAGCACTTCCTTGTGCTTGTTTGTCGACATCAACCAACCTGTCGGTGTTTCCATCTAGTGACGAGCAGAGTCGATTAGACCCTGCATTCTGGAAATCAGCCGAAGAGAACACCGACACTGGTGGGAACCCCAGATCACCCTCTTCAGGCTTCTCCTTCCACAGCTGCAACCCGGGCAGCGCCCATGAGCCCTCACCGGCCCTTTCTGCATCTGAGGTGGCGCCGGAGATGTTGAGTAGGCTCTCGAAGGCCTGTACCATATGCTTGACGCGGCCAGAGCCAGGATCTGGAACGCTGGTCATCGCCTTTGCCATTGCCTTCGTCCTCATCGCCCTAACCTTGCTGCTCCCCTCCAGCTCCGCGTCGGTCTCCTCCTCCTCCTGCTCCTCGAATGCTCCACCTTTCACATCCTCTTCAGCCACCGGCTTCCCCTCCTCCTCCTCCTCCTCCTCCTCCTCCTGTCCCAATTGCTCCTCTACGGTGGCGGTGGACGCGGCGAGCTCCTTGCGGAAGAACTCTCCCTGCGACGCGCGCAGCGCCTCGCGGGCGGCCTCGCGGACCTTGTCGAAGTCGATCTCTCCCCCGCCCCCGCCGCCTCCCATGGTCCCGACGTTCCGCCTCCGCCGCGTGCCCTTCTTCGCCACGAGGAATCGCCGCTCCCGCTCCGGCGGCGGCGTGGCGGGGGCGGGCGCGGGCGTGGAGGGCTTCTTCTTCGTGGTGGTGAACCTGGCGCCCGCGGTCGCCGGGGACTTGAGGACGGGCTTGGACGGCGTCGGCTGCGGGGGAGGCGGCGTGCCCGGGATGTTGGGGTTGGAGTTCTCGGATGTGTGGGAGGACCGCGCGCGAGAGGGGCATGGCGTCTTGGACGGCGTCTTGGCCGCCGACGCGGTGGCCTGGGGCTTGGTCGGAGTCCTGGCACCCGCGGCCGCGGGGCCCAGGGGCTTGGTCGGAGTCTTCGCGGCCGCCGCCGTCGACATCGCTAGGGTATGGAGAGCACGGCGCGCGGCGGGGATCAGACTGGATCGTGGATTCCGCCTTGTGGGTGGATGGATTTGGGTCGACGAGATGTTGCCGTGCGTATGGTGGAGAACAGAAAAAAAAGGGAGGAGGGGGAGGAGGCGGCGGCGATGGGAAAAGGGAACGTTGGGGTGCTGGAGCCTGGAGGCGTAACGGCTAGTTTCTTCCGAGGCGCTCCGCCCGAGGCGTTCGAATAACGGTGCGAGTTCTTCGCCCCATTGGACGCGCTCAAGTCCGTGACATGTGGGCTCTCGGACTCGTGGGCCCTCAACGTCATCCAGGTGTTTTTGTTTCGTGTGTGTTGGATTGGGTCAGTTGTGGGTTATCGACGTGGAGGCTGACGTGGACAACAGTGATGTCGCGTGATTCCGGGACAACGGAATTCTCACGATCCAGCTCGCATATTCCCGTTTTCAGGGTTCGCTACTGGTCGGCATTGTCTGTTTTGTCCAAATCTGACCACCAATGCGAGTGATGGAAAAAGAAAAACCATGAACAACCTCGTCGACGGTCTGCAGTTCGGCACGCTCAGCTGTCATTTGCCTTTGCCCATCCAGCCTCGTTCGCCAGTTGCAACGCACGGCATGATACACCGCTCTATAATTATTCTTATCTAAGACGAAAAGAGGAACAAATTTCCGACCTATAGCTTCTAGACACAAGTTTTCTTGAATCTTTGTTTGTCAAAAAAAAAATCCTTGAGTCTATTTGGTTTCAGGTGCTTTTATACATAAACTGATACAACTCATAAAACCCTCAGCGTCGAGTCGTCGACCAGCACAAATCAACGCGCGCACGTAGAGGCCGAGGTGGAGATGAGCAACAACGACTCTACACCGCTCGTCAGCCGTCGCCACGCCGGCCGCCGCCAAGGACCGCGCACTTGATCTTCCTGAAGAGAACCTTGGGCGCGTTGAGCCAGCTGCCGGCAGCCTTGCGCGGCCGCCTCGCTTCCCCGCCCCCGCCGCCGCCGTCCCCGATCAGCACCCGGTTCAGCCGCACGACCATCGCGTTGAGCTCGAACGAGTCGTACAGCGTGACACGCTGCCCGGCGCCGGCCGCCACGACGGGCAGGCCGTCGCGCTCGGCGCTCGGCTGCTCGCCGCGCCCGTGGGTGCCGCTCGGCTTCGTCGTCGTCGCGCGCGCCACGACACGGTGCGGGTGCGCGCTCGGCGCGAGCCTGACGTCGTCGGGGAACATGCCCGGCCGCGCGCTCGGCTACCGTGCCTCCGTGTAGGCCACAAAGTAAGCTTGCCCGGCGCCCTCGTAGCACTTGCAGTCCCTAATCGTTGTGGCGGGTGCGTTCCGTGTGCAAGAATACGATCGTCGATCGATGCTTGCAAGAAGGAAGGTGACAACGGCGGGGCCTGGGTTTTTACGTAGGCGGGCGTTGAGTACAAGAGGCACGAGACCTCACGAGCACGGCACCTAAAGAACGAACAAAAACACACCGAGTGGTGGGCGCTCACCTCCATCTTGTAGTTGTAGCGCTTGCACGGCGGTACAGGGCCAGCCGTCCAGGACTGATGGCCTCAGGATTCAAGATGTGCCGTAAGAACGGCACACGGATATACCAAGCATCTTTTACATTCGATCGAGCAGGTGGTGGGTGGTGTTTGGTCTGACCAGCACGGCGACGGGGCATGGCGCCATGCAAAGCAAGGCATGCCTGTTGCCGCTGTCAGAAGCTGTAAGCTTGAGCAAGACCTCATGCGCGATAAGAATAAGATAATCAAACTGAACTGCACAGAAATGAGAAGCCAACGGTGATAAGTTTTGAACTTTGACAAAGCACAATCATATCGGTCTCTCTTTCTCTCAACAAATTTGGGGCTGCTTGTTATACAACACTGGAATTCGAATGTTCTCAGTTCAATACAAAGGATCTTTTTTACGCCCAAACAAAAAAAAATACAAGGATCTTTCTATTTGCTCTAAAATATGTAATGAAACAACAAGGTTCTTAATCCTGCAGTCCAGACGATGGTCTCCAAACTGCCCGAATTCCTGGCACAGTATCACTTGCCCAGCAACCGGCGTCCCCGTTGATTCGCGCCTTTCAGTCTGAAATTCAGTTCATCGACGTCGTCGCTGAAAGGAACCAGAGCTTTGTTTTGCCTGCAAGCAAGATAAAAAAAAACCTCCATCAAACTGTATACACAGTAGATAGCACAGCATAGAGTCTTCTGCATCAATTTGCTTAATGGTATGCTGTGGTATCTATAGAAAAGTCACTACTGCAATATTACCTGTCAATTTCTGTGCCCATATCCACTGCCATTTCCTTGAGTTGTCCCAATGTGCTACACAAGTCAGAGAGCGCATCATCCTGCTTTGATCTCTCAGCCTAAAGAGAGAAAGAAATCGATGTTTAACTCTGATGAAGAACTAGAAGAAAAAATGTTGAGAAGATAGTACTTGGTTCCATGGGTCACACACTACATAGTCAATTCTGAAGACAGACCTGAATTTTTTCCATTGCAGATACAGGTGTGGTTTGTACATGACTGGGACGTTCTTGACGTGCTGGGGCAATTCCTAGCTTCCACCTCTGTTCCGTGTGGTTAGCTGTCGTCGCAGAATAGTTATCTGCCACAACTCAAAAGGTTTAGCTAAGCAAAAAATAAGTCTGACAAATTAACTATAGCCTACAATAACATACTTCCTGAGACTGGTCCTTTTATCTGTTGATTTCTCTTTGGCCTCCATGACTTGGAAAATAGCCCACCCAGACTTCCCAGGAGCTTCTCACTCTGAAGACAACAGAAGTTTTGACATATTATTGCAGTGAATTGAGCAAGACCAAACATTTATAGCATGATAATGAATTAAAAAGAAAGGAACAACACAACTCATCCTAATATATGTAGAGCTCACTCAAAAACTCAAAATGAACCCATGAATCATCAAGGCAATAGTGACAACAAAACAGAAGGAAAACCATGTACGGTAATACCATCCAATTAATGCTTAGCTGTGCTAAATCATAAGATTCCAAATATAGTTATCACTCTGAATGATAATTATCAAGCATGATTTGGCTCAGTAATTGGTGATTCACAACATACAGAAACAAAAAGTGGAAGAGGGTTACAGATAGGCCTGGGTGTTCGGTCCTGACCAACTGTTTGGTCAGGTCTCTTCGGCTTTTAAAAATGTTCAGTCTTCATGAATCGATACCCGAAATTTAACATAGGAGTTCGGTCCCTCAAATTGAGTATATGAGATGTGACTTCGGCACTACTACTCGGGAGAAGGAAGATATTAGTTTGGAAGGTCAAGTAGTGCCTAGGAAGGATACCTTTCGATATTTAGGATTAATGCTACAAAGAAACGGGGATATTGATAAAGATGTTAGCCATAGAATTAAAGCAGGGTGGATGAAGTGGCGCCAAGCATCTGGTGTCCTATGTGACAAAAAGGTACCACAGAAGTTAAAAGGCAAGTTTTATAGGACGGCGATTAGGCCTGCTATGTTGTATGGTGCAGAATGTTGGCCTACGAAAAGACGACATGTTCAACAGATAAGTGTCGCGGAAATACGTATGTTGCGTTGGATTTGCGGTCATACAAGAAGGGATCGAGTTCGGAACGATGATATACGTGATAGATTAGGGGTAGCACCAATTGAAGAAAAGCTTGTCCAACACCGGTTGAGATGGTTTGGACATGTCCAACGGAGACCTCAAGAGGCACCGGTGCGTAGTGGAATCCTAAGCCAGGATAGTAACGTGAAGAGAGGCAGAGGATGACCGAAGTTGACTTGGGTAGAGGCAATAAAAGGAGACTTGAAAGGATAGAATATACCCAAAGAATTAGCCTTAGATAGGAGTGCTTGGAAAACAGCTATTCACGTGCCTGAACCTTGATTGCTTCTGCTGAGTTTCAACTCTAGCCTACCCCAACTTGTTTGGGACTTAAAGGCTTTGTTGTTGTTGTTGTTGTTGTTGTAGTTCGATCCCTCAAAGATTGGGTACCCGATTTATCGGGTCGGTCTTTCGGTGGTCATAACCGAGATGGCTTTCAATAGTCAACAGGACTACAGCGGTGCAGTCTGTACTCTGCAGGAACAGCTGTACACGTACACACATACTCCAGTATTAGGCCTTTGGCGACACAAACACGTACTAGTAAATAAACTTCATAATACGCTGACAACACATATGATAGCAGCAGTGCATGGCAGTTTTGTTCCACGAAGTAGCACAGACTGGCAGGAGGCAATAGGCAACAGCACGGACTAACAGAGTTGAGACAGACTTCATATACTTTCAGAACTCGACTGCATTAGTGTGGGTGGGAGGGGGCATGGGACAGGCTCTGTGTCGCTTGGAAACTTGAGGTTGGATTAAATATCGGGTTGTTCGGCTAACTGACAGTGCAGACCAAAGACTACTAAAGAATTTCGGTCTCTACCAACTTGGAACCACACTAGTACCCGAGGACCGAAAATTCAGGTATTTCAGTCTCGGTCTCGGTTTTATTTGCCCACCCCTGGTTACAGATCATAGTGTGATAACTGAACATGTATCTGTACAATAGTTCGGCACAGTTTCTGTTATGAAGGTGCATGTCGATCAAAATACGTACTTATACAAGTCATGTACACATCTACGCATCTCCATCAAATATTTTGAAAGGCCAATGTTTCGACAAGGTGTCTGATGACTGAATTGGGTACCAACATATTGTATTGTACAGAAGTTCAGCTTATTTTGAGATAAAATAGTTGTTGGAAGGTACTATTCAACTATTGTATACTTGGGCTATCCAATGATCAAAAGATAGAGAACTTACCACTGTAAGGTCCTGCTCAATGTCAGCTGCTACTTGATGAGACCGCATGATCTGCTCACCTTGACGGTGCAAAGTTAGCATGGTTTGTGTAGCATCTTCTCTGATGGCTTCAGCAGCCCTGACACAATCATTTACTTTGTGTGTGGTTTCTCGTGCTTTGGTTATAGCATAATCTTCCAACTCTTGCACAGATTGATTGGTGCGTCGTACTGGGACAGACTGTGCCCTTGATGGCCCTTCAGAATCAGAATCAGAATCAAACGGGTTTGTCTTGTGGGCAGGGGTGCCCAATGAATTTTGTTTCTTATACATTGGCACCGACATCACAATCTACACTTAAAGTTCTGTACTGACGACCAGATATCTGCAACGAAAAGGAAAACAAAAGGATTCTATCAGGATTTAGGGGAACAATCAGGTAGTGGTGTGCATTCTTATCAACAAAAAAATGATTTATTAAAGATTTTTTTGTTATGAGTGAAAATAACAGGTGAAGGCTAAGCCAGAATTGAAAAGCAAATGAAACATTATGAAAAAGCATAGGAAACAACGAATACAACAACAACAACAACAACAACAAAGCCTTTAAGTCCCAAACAAGTTGGGGTAGGCTATAGGAGACAACGAATGCAGAATGAATTTTAAATTTACACCAAGATCTAACTTCCCGTGACTAAAGCCATATTTTCTTGGAATACCAGTTGTGAAGCTTTGAATCCTAACAGCAGCAACAACAAACTACAAATTGACGGCAGAAGGAGTAATCACAAACCAAATATCTCATTCCCACATGAAGACCATGACCTTGAAACTGACAATCTTGGAATAATGGATTATGCCCAGTACCAACAAGCCAGCTGCGATTGATTCCAAACATATGCGCTGAGCCAAACCATAACTACTGTTCGTGCGAGGTCATGCCAACCTCAGAATCACGGGTGCGCTATCTGCCTATCTGTCAACAGAACATCCAGGGGCGGATCCAATAAAAGGCATTGTACAATGTACAGACCATGATTTTTGCCCAAAAAACAAAGTTAATAGGCATAATACATGCATACACTTGCACTTGTGGTTAGATCAGATCCGAATACAGATAACCAAATAGCTTAACCTAGGTTTCGGCCGTTCGGGCTCAGTTTTGCACACAAAGAAGGGAAAAGAGGGGGGGCGGGCATACCTGGTGTGGTGGGTGCTCGTCGCCGGCAAAGGGTCTGACGAAGACCTGGGCAGCTGGGGGCAGGGGCTAGGTCGGCGGCGGTCGCGGGCGTGTTCGGTCGCCCTGAAACTCTGGGTCTCTGGCGCTCTGATGCTCCGTAGATGCAGAAAACGGTCGAATGGGGAGCGTATAGGCGAGGGGGACGGGGGAAGAAAAACAGGTGTTAACGCAGGAGAGCAATTCTTCCATGGGCCAATCACAAAAAAGAATTCTTCCATGGGCCATGGCTATTGGGCCGATTTTTTTTTTATTTCCTGCAGGCGCAAGCGCATGACTACGCTAGTTCGGTGAGAGCAGCGCAAGAAACTGGTTCATTTGGTTCTTTTCTCTCTCTCTCTCTCTCTCTCTCTCTCTCTCTGCTTCTAATAACTATATTGCCACTAATAATCATCTCTATTTTTTCATTATCCACTAGTTAAACCCTTTTCCCCTTTTTCTCGCTCGCCTAGTAAATTGTTATCAGTCTTTTAAATTTGTGTTCTGATTAATTTATAAATTTTTATTTTACACAAATATGTCATGAGAATTTTTGCTCCCAAATCTGTAACATTTTTTTGTCATGTTGGAATGTTTTTTCACATGATGTTGGAATAAATTTCTCCTAAACATGGAATTGTATTTATGATACTAAATAAGTATCATTAGATTATTCATTGTATACATATTTGATGTCATAAATCTTTATAATCTTTATATAATTTTGGTCAAACTTGAAATGCATTGACTCTCCAAGAAAGCTAGAATGACTTATAATTTGAAATAGAGAGAGTAGCTTTAAGAGCTCGCACTAAAAGCCAACTAGCACGGAAAATAGGAATGGAATGTTTCTTATCCATTTTGAGAGAGTTCTACTTTTTAGAGTAACTCCAAGAACCTCTTTATATCCTTCTGTGTTGACAGGAGTCGGGAATAGATAATTTGGTAAAAAAAAGTTCTCAGTCAGCTTTTCAATTAGATCTTCAAATATTGTCACCCTCGATTCCATGTTTCTTGCTAGACAAAGAGAGTAGAGATGGCTTTCCAAAGTACGCACAAGATACTGATAAGTTGTTGGAACGTAGAAAGATACAGAGAGTGATTTTTATTCAAATGACTCTCAAAAAAGGATTTACAGCAACTCCAAGAGCCTTTTATATCCTTCCTAACTGATATGAATAGAGATTTTGATGCAAAAACACCCTCCAACAACTTTTTTTAGTTACATCTCTAAATATTGATATCCTATGTTCTGGATTTCTCACTGGACAGAGTGGGGTAGGCTCTCTGGAGTACGCACAAGGTATAGAAAGGTTGTTGGCGGGTGAAAAGATATAAAGAGCAATTTTTATTTAAATAGCTCTTCAAATAATAATTTAGAAAGTGAGTTTAAGAAATACTATTAGAGATGCTCTTAGAGAGTGGGTTTAAGAAAGACTCTTGAAATGCTCTTAACTTTATCACAATATATAAGAAGAAACCGATGCGAGCCTATCACAAAAAATTATATGAAGACTAGCGCCAGCATTGCAAATGATATGGTTGTTACATTCTTATCTAATCTACTAGGTAGCGTGCCTGTGCGTTGCTACGGAACAACTAAACTTTTATGCTAAAAACACACGGATCGCACGATAAGGCCAGTCTTAGTGAAGTTTCGTGGCTCTGTTTTCAAGACTCAATGTAAACAAGTTTCATCCCCATGAAACTAATTCCATCTTATGAAATTATTTTCATCTCTCTCTTCATTTAAACTATGCCACATCATTTTATTTAATGCACATGAAACTTTCATTGAGACTGGCCTAAGATAACAATACTGTGAAATTAAATACTGATGTTAAAGTGACATTTAATTTAATCTAAAAAGCAAAGTTCGTGATGGTTTGATCACTAACAAAAAAGATAGTCTTATTTGAGAAGAACGATTTTAGTGTCACTTCAGGCAAACAAACATCACAAAGAAACTGAAGAGCAAACCTACCGCCACCAACAAAAAAAAAGTTCTTTGTTTTCTTTGAGAAGTCAAAAAAACAACAGCTCTCAAGTGGCCTTTGCCAATGCCAATACAACTTCTTTCAGCATCCCATAACCTCTGTTGATGCAGTCCATTACCTCTGTTGATGTAGTCCAGCTCCCGCATGCTCAATATGTGGGCCTGCAGCGCATACACTGTCGCCATGCGTGGCAGTCTAAGCATGCAGCCATGTCATCGGCATAATGATTGTGTCGGTTGTCTCTAAGATCTTCTCATCGAAGTGGAAGTATATCTAATGGCACCTATACATACATTTTTGGAGCATCCTGATTCATAATTCAAATTACACACGTGGCACCATTCACTGTCATGTATTCATAATTCAAATTACACACACACATGGATCCATTTTGACCACCTGATTTGTAATTTGTAACAATATCAAAGTAAAAAAGAAACCATAATTAATTCATTTACTTACATATACATTACAAAGCATTGATACATATACAAGGATCAGTAGTTACTATCATGGTTCTGGTTTGTCAAGTCTTTAAAAGGTGTGCTGTAACCGTGATTTTTAATAGGTTCCATGTACCTAAGAATGACTAAAACATAAAAAGATGAATCATAAGTGAAAGCTTATAAAACAAGTTTGATCAATGACTGAAACATAAAAGATGAATCACAAGTGAAACTTATAAAACAAGGTTGATCATATATAGTTTAGATGACCTCAACTTTATTTGTCTTTATAATCATAGAGGCCATACAGTGGATCTTATTTGTTAAATGTTAAATAAAATAAATCAGCGTCGTCTCCTGGTGGCGTCTGGATGGCAGGCTGGAAAGGAAAAAAAGATATCTGCTGGGCTATGGCTCGGTGCATATGGGTAAAGGTTTGAGGCTTGTATCCCAATCCCTTGTTTGGGATTTAGGGTGTGTTTGGAACAGCTCGCTCTACGTTTTTTTAGCTCTGCTCTATATTTTTTTAGCTAAACGGTTTCAGTTTCACACTGTTCGAGAAAAAAACGATGAAGTTGTGAGAGCACCTAAAGAGGTGCTCCACGAACTCTAGTTTTTTTATGGAACTACTCTACGATAGAGTTTGTGGAGCAGAGTTTGTGAAGCAGTCCAAAATACCTCTTATTTGAAATTGATTTATATTCATGTGGGGCCCACTTACTAAAAAAATACAGGCATCAAATCTTCACTGCTCCACTGCAGTAGAGTCTTCTCGGTCCTTATCCTTATCCTCGCTCGCAACGGCGTGACGGGAGAGGTGCTTTCTGGAGCTCGTTTGCCGGCCGCCTCCGTCTTCACCTGCGGCGCCGGTGACCCTCGTCCTCCCGACCCTTTCTTCGTGGTTCAACTGGGAAACACCAGCTCCGAGCTCTGCCGGCGTGACGCGCGCAAGACAACTGCGGGTTCTTGCAGCCCCCGCGCATCCGCGGTGAGGGCAGCTCCGGCGAGCAGCATCCTCGGCGCTTGCGAGGCGAGGTCAGCTACAGGGATGGCGACCCAGCGACGAGCACCGTAGGCGGCCATGATATGCGGACGGGGTCTTGGGTAGAAGGCCTGGTGGGCAGGAGGCCGCCGGCGTGGAACCAGGAGGAGCAAGCCGCCGCAGGAAAGAAGGCCAATCCACGCCGACCTCATCCCCTCCCGCATCTGCGTACCTCGGCGGAGACGGAGCCCCAAGGTGCTGCAGCCGCCACGGCGCTAGATCCCCACATCGCCACACCCGGCACCCTCACTTCGAGGTATGGCTTATCCTTCCTCCCAAGTCGGAATGAACTGTCATTACGTAGTTAATTTGTTCATTGCTAGATTTTGTGTTGGTTAATGATACCAGTCTGGACTCCGGAAGTTTTATTTAATTCATTTGTGATAGTCAGTAGCTGCTATTTCTAGTAATGTTTTATTTTAGGGGAATATTTCCTGTTGCTGTTGGTCATTGCTCAAATTCACTTTTGTTATTATAGATAATGCATCAACAATCCTGTTAGATACGAGATGGCCGTAGTGAAATCATATATAGCTTTACAAGTAAGTTTGACCATCCTGCACCTTCTAATTCTTTATACTTGTCAGTGGATGGAAGATAATGGGGAGGGGGATTCAATTCAACTATGGTTTGTCATGAAAACGTTTTTGCAGCATGGAACTGCACAGAATTGGCACTAATGGTTCCTGCCACAGCTCATGCGGGCTACTGATGGACTACTCCATCCCCGATTACATACTGAAGCCGGACTCTGAACAAGTCACTGTTGATAGTGCGCCATGTTGCCCTGTTGTAGTCTTCATCAACTCTAGAAGTGGTGGCCAACTGGGAAGCAGTCTGATCAAAACATACCGAGAACTTCTCAATGAAGTGCAGGTAAATAGGCTAGCAGTTTGGCAATGCTGTAACAATGAAAATATGCATTCCCTTGCATAGTTGCACTATACTATAGTAGTACTTCAAATCATCTTCTCATTGTTGTATCCACTCAATTTTTTTTGCAAAGGTTTTTGATCTCTCAGAAGAGGCTCTTGATAAGGTTCTACTCAGATTATACTGCAACTTTGAAAAGCTCAAGTCTAACGGTGACCTCGTTGCTACTCAAATACAGAAGAGCTCAAGGCTAATTGTGAGAAACCTACTTTTGAATTTATGCATCCAAAAAGAATTTCTGGTTGGATATGTCCTTTTATTAGCCAGTGATCTTTGAAATATCTTGCTGGTGGTGATGGCACGGCAAGTTGGCTGCTTGGAGTAGTTAGTGACCTGAAGCTATGACACCCCCCTCCTGTTGCTACTGTACCACCTTTTTCATTTGGATGGGTAAGTTGACGCCTCTTTCTTATTTTGAGCATACTGATTTCTTAATTATGATTATTAATCCTATTATGATTTTTGCAGGTCCTACATCAAGTCTAAAGCAGTGCTGAAAATAATGGAGTACCTCAACTTGCCCTTCCCACAAGTCACCATCTTCCTCAGGTTTGTCCCTCTAATCTCTCTCCTCTCCCTGTTCAGCTTAATTTGTGTATGTGGTATGCATCTTATGTATACTATGATATGGTACTTCGGCTTTGGAATATGTGTCATTAAGGTTTAAGAGAATTAAGGAACAAATATGATTTTTTTTTCTGAAACAAAACCCAGTGATTGATGTTGTGATTATGAGAAGAAACTCAGACTGGTGCCGTTTTGGTTCAGGATTGGTGCCGACCGCGCCACTTCTTGCTTTCTTGCAATGGGGAGGGAGGACCCACTTCATCCTGGTTGTTGTCCGGCAAATTCCCGAGGTGTGATGCTTGGATTGGGTTAAAAGCTATCAGAGGGATTCCTTTTGCGCACATATATAAAAGATTCAGGTTTTGCTAGGGTTTCTGTAACGTTGTTGTGTTTCGCCTCCTGGAGAGTTCAATCCTGTCTGATAAGTTTCAGTTAGCGTTTGGCAACTGCAGGTTCAGAGCAGTCCATCTGTGTTCATAACATTTATAGCTTGGAGCATATCTGAGGTGTGACAGAAAGACCTTCATTTCATTTTCTTTCTGCATTGTGTCTTATTCTCGCCAACAATTGCAAATAGTGTTTAAAGTTTAAACTAATTGCAGTTCATATAAAGGTAGAACCAGTTCATATTTAGGGCAAAAATTGCAGTTGTATTATTAGTTCATATAAAGGTCATTAGAACTGCAATCACTACAGACTATATTGACAGGATTAGGGCAATTTGTTGATCATCACTTACCCGTGACTTGTCCTCCCTTTTGTACAGTCAGACCGAGAAGCAGATAGCGAGGGAGATGGCGAGGACAGGAGAAGCAGATTGTCGTCGATGTCGGGTGGCCACTTTGACGGCACCAGACTTGGCCTCGGCGGCTTGGAGTAGTAGATCGCTGCTGACGTCAAATGGACACTTCAACGGGAGTAAGGTACTTAGTTTTTTTTTTCTGAAACAAAACCCATCTTGTTTCCAAAGTAAATCATGATTAACACAGTTTTCTGTTCTTGGAGCCAAATGCATGGTTCTATTATTAGTTCATATAAAGGTTAAATCGTGCATTAGAACTGCAATCACTACAAACTATATAATAGACAGGATTAGGGCAATTTTTTGAGCATCACTTACCCGTGACTTGTCGTGCCCTGTGTACAGTCTGACCAAGGAGCAGATTGTGAGGGAGACGGCGGGTGCAGGAGAAGCAGCTTGTCGTCGATGTCGGGTGGCCACGGCGACGGCACCAAGCGTCGTCTGACCGGGAAGCAGATCGCGAAGGAGGCGGGGAGGAAAGGAGAAGCAGATTACCGTCGATGAACGCTGGCCGCGGCGATGGACAGGCATCGGCGGCCTGGAGTAGTAGATCGCTGCAGACGTCAAGTGGCCACGGGGCGATCTGTTGATGTCAAGTTGCCACGGGGCGTCGGAGGATTGGGGTAGCAGATCGTGGCTGACGTCGCGGTGCCACGGCGACGGCACCAGACTTTGCGGCGGCGGCGGCGGCGGCTTGGAGGAGATGGCTATCGATGTCGACGTCGAGTGGTCACGACGAAGGCAGTTTTATTTTGACGCGTGCTGGGGTCGCGGGAGGCGCTAATAGCTATGGCATGAGACCAGGCACTGATTGTTTGCTGCTGCTTTTTTTTTTTTTTTTGCTTAGAACGGATTGCGGGGTGTGTTTCTCTGATTGTTTCTTTGTTTTTTTTTTTTTTGCGAGACGTGGTTTCCTCAGAAACGTTTTGGGCGCCGGTTTTTTTTTAGAAAGAACGGACTGCACGGTGTTTTGCCGGGCTATTAGCAGTTCGCAGTGCTGATCGGGGACAGCGGCGTGGGCAAGTCGAACCTGCTGTCGCGGTTCGCCAGGGACGAGTTCAGCCTCGAGACCAGGTCCACCATCGGCGTTGAGTTCGCCACCAAGACCGTCCAGGTCGACGAGAAGCTCGTCAAGGCGCAGATCTGGGACACCGCCGGGCAGGAGAGGTACTACGCCCTTCCTTCTTTGCTGTTCGTTATGCAGATTGCAGATGCAGTTCTAGGATTTGTTAATATGGAAACTTAAGCGTAACTGACGGAATGAACATGCATGTGCTTCTGATACGCATTTCAAAAACGAAAACCAAACCACTGGCCTGTTGATTGCTTGGTGCCTCATGGCTGAAAACGGGATTGATTTCCGTACTACTCCAGCTGGGAGTTCATGCTAAAATGAACTGAACAATTAAGTTTGCCCACCCGCGAGTTTCGAATTTGAGAGATCACCACCTCCGTCGCCTTTCTCCTCTACTCATGGGATCGCACGAGGGAGGACAGGAAGGTGAGGCGAAGTTTTTATCGTATTAAAACGGTGTCTCCTCTTTAATCTTTTAAGTTGCACCAAAACGGTGTCTTCTCTTTAGTCTTTTTAGTTGTGAGAGAAGAGAAACTATTTACAAAAGTGTTACTATAAGCAGTGGTTATCATGAGGTAACCATGTTGGCGCGTGCATAGGCAGGTGCCTGCCTATTTTGACGTACTACCTCCGTTCAAAAAAAAAAAAAATAGCGTAATCCTTGTTCAATCATCGATTAAACTTTCTAAAATTTGATAAAAGTTAGTATAGGTATTTATAGCACAAAAATAGACATATTATTAAATTTGTATTTTACGATTAATCAATGATATTTATTTGATATCATAAATACTACTGATAATTCTTTATATAAACTTGGTTATTAGAACTGCATTCTTTCCTGGAGTATCGTGCACGCATCATAAAGTTACCCTGATCATGAATTTGATTCATCTCATATTCTTATTCACGAATTCATGCTCTATGGACCATAAAGATTAACAGTTTCAACAACCGCCCCGTGGGAAATTTAAAAATTTGCCATCCATACCAAAGTCACTTGTCCAATTGCCAGCTTTGTTTTGGCGATTATAAATTTACCACATGAACAGTAAATAGAGCTATATATTTGCCGTTTTTGACGTGGCAAGCTAACTCAACCTACCAGCGTGTACATGTCATGGGAAATGACCGTTGAGCCCCTGCCTTGATCTCTTTCAGGCCATCTTCTCCCTCTCGCTGTCTCACTTCCATACGGATCCCGCTTGTCATCATCTACCTCCCACTCCCATCTTCCGTCCATGGCGTTGGGAGACACGGTCCTAGCGAGGGCCGCGGGGCGGGCGCGTGCGCGGCCGTGGCTCACGGGGCTGGCCCAGCGCGGCGGGGGCGGTAGGGCGGGCACGGAGAGCGCCCGTGGCCGGCGGCGGGGCGGGCCGGAGCTCGCGGCCATGGCGCGGCGGCGGCGGCGGTAGCGCGGGCGCGGCAGGGGGCGCATGGCTTGCGGCAGGACGGGCTAGAGCTCGCGGCCATGGAACGGCGCGCGTGGACGAGACGACGAGGATGTTACCCTGTAGCCTGCGTACGCTGCCCATGCTTTAAGCGACCCAGGGCGGCCTCAGCACGTGGCCGGCGGCCCGGCGGCTCGCGGAGCTCGCGGCTGGCGCGGAGCTTGCGGCCCCGCGGCGCACGGAGCCCGTAGCTCTAGGCGGCTCGCGAAGCTCGTGGCCCAGGCGGCGGCAGCCATGGTAGCTGCCTCCACTCGCGTCCATGGCGCACGTACGTCGTGCCCAAGCCGACCGGCACAAAACGGGCGACTGAGCCTACGTGTTGCCACAGCAAGCTCGAGCTGTGCGCACGCCGCGTCCATGGCAGCTCGTGTGCCTCCCCGTGGCCCATCTCGAGCTCCGAACGGACTATGGTGGCTGTTCCTACGAGCTTTGGTGTCTCCATTCCTCTGCCACAACCAAGCACGTGGTGAGCTCCCACGCACTAGCGCGACCCTCCCTGGAGTTCAATGTTGGACCTTCGTCCAAAATCTGGTCGAGCGCTGTCGTTTGCCGCATCGGTGTCGGCTGCTCCGGCGACCTTCTAGTCCGAGCTCGACCGGGCCACGCCGATGCTGCTTGCGCAGTTGCGCTCACTTCCCGCGCGCATGCGTGCAACACGCTGCGCAGCCGTGCGCTGCCACGCGAAGCGCCGGCCGGCTGCGAGCTTGCGACGTGCTCTGCTCTACTCTGTATAGGAGTCGACGGGAGGTAGATGATGACGAGCAGGGTCCACATGGAAGGAAGACAGTTCGAAGGAGGAGATGGGCTGAAAGCCTGAAACAGATCAGGAAAGGGACACAAGGGTCATTTTCCACAGCCTGTACACGCTGGCAAGGTGAGTTTCTTGCCACGTTGTCTAAAATGGCAAATATATAGCACCGTCAACTGTTCACGCGGCAAATTTATAATTGCCAAAACAAAACTGGCATAAGGAGAAGTGCCATTTGGAAAGGATGGCAAATTTTTAAATTTCCCCGCCCCGTGAACTCGTGATGGCATCACCCACCGATCATTATTACATGGAGCAAGTAACAAGATATCAGACACGTTATTTTTTGATAAGAATTTGGGTATTGCATTAAGACCACGATCCAGCTAAATCGCTTGGCAACCGCGAAGAGGACAAGAGTGAGCACCAACCATTACAGGATCATCCTCCGCTGAGAGGGATTTACCCATCCCTACAAAAGCATGTGCTACTTGTTTCCAAAAAAAAAAAAAAAAAAAAGCATGTGCTACTTTGTTTCATTCTGTTGGCGCAGAGCATCTCAAAGACTTGACGAACTCGCCAACTATCAATGCTTCCAACTCCGGATGAGATTGCCCAGGATTTATAGGCGAAAGTCTTCTCCATATGTGCTTATTTCACCTGTATGGCATCAGTTTCAAGCACTAGATATATCCAATGCTCATCTTGCACACCATTGACAACAACACACGATAAGAAGGGAGAGGCGTTATGTCTTGAACATACCCGAATCAGGTTAGTGGTGGTCTATAAATTTTGTTTAAGTTGATTTTTTTTTCATGCATTTTGGTTTTGTAATGGGTGTGCACATAAACTCGCTCGTGTTGGGACCATGATTGAACGTTAGATTGATCCTTTTTCAGGATTTGTAGAAGATACTTGCTCTGACAAAAGGTTGGGACCATGATAATGGTTAGATTGATCTTTTACCATGATAATGGTTAGATTGATCTTTTTCAGTACTAGTAGTTGTCGGTGTTTCGAGTTACCACCGACAAGTAAATTTCTAGTATTACGTGTCTGGCTCGGATGGTATGCTTAGAGGACACGAGGTTTATACCGGTTCGGGCAGAAAGTCCATACGTCCAGTTCGTCGTTGCTGCTCGTGTTACCGGCACATAAAGTTTATAGTATGGGTTACAAACGAGTGAGAGAGGGACATGTCCCAAGTCTCTGATGTGTGTGTGCTCCTAAGGCGTGTTAGGGCGTGTGTTTTGATGTCTACAGCCGTGTAGAGTGGTGAACCGCCCCCTTCCTAGACGTCCTGCTTCTCCTTTTATAGACAAAGAAGAAGAGCATGTTACACAGAGAAAGAGGGATAAGAGGCAAGGAGATGAATGCTTCTAGGACCGTCGGGCCTTTCTTTTCCTTTTTGCGGGTCCCGCAGACACTGCAGATGGTGACAGGGATGGCTCCACGCCGGGCGCCTGTTCGCCGCTGATACCACGCCCTGGCGTTGTCAGCGGGTCGTGACGTCCCATTTCGCCTCGGCGGGCGACGTGGCAAACCAACGTGCTGGTCAGCGGCCGTACAACGAGTAGGCAACATAGTGACCACGCATCCGTCACTGTTGGTGATGTGAGTTCTCTGGAGTGACATGTCATAGGCACGGGTCATGTTGAGATGTGCTCGCTCCCTGCCCGATGCTAGAAGTTTGGCCTTAGTTTGTACTTTCTGGCCCGTAGTGGTTGGCGGCGGTATGGGCTTCCGTCCAGAGCCGCGCCTGAGGGTCGGGTGAGACGGAGCCCCCGACCCAGAGGCCGGGCGAGGTGGAGCCCGTCCCCAGCGGTCGGGTGAGGCGGAGCCCGTGGCCTCAGGGTCGGACGAGGCGGAGACCGTGGCCTCGGGGTCGGGCGAGGCCAAGCCCGCCCCCAAGGGCCGGGTGAGGCCGAGCCTGTGGCCTCAGGGTCGGGCGAGGCAGAGCTTGTGGCCTCAGGGTCGGGAGAGGCGGAGCCTGCGCACCTAGGGGTCGGTTGAAGCTGTAGTCGCGCTCTTGACTGCTCTGACGAATCAATGTTGATGACCATTAGCTCCTCCTCTTCGGGTACCCTAGTATTGCTCTCCGACAGTAGCCCCCGAGCCTGCGGAGGAGTAGAATACTCCTTCGGAGGCTTTTCCGAACAAGAGGACTCTGAGGGCCTCGGCCTTCTTTTATCGCCCACAACGTGTCCTGGGGACGGCGATTCCCTTTCATCGTTATCGGACCCCTCGGGGGTATAGCCGTGAGATTTGGTGGGTCAGAAAAGGCCTTTTCTGATTTCGACCCCTACGGGGGTCTGTCGTTCTGCGACCGCGCGTTCAGTCTTCTTGCGAGTCCAACTTTCCTCAAGCCCTCGCCCGTAGCAGGGGTCCGGTCGAGGGTCGGCTCGTCTTCCCTCATGCGTTTTTTTCGATAAAAATGGAGGGATTGAGCCGTGCCATGATTTTCCCCTATAGATGAATAGTGGTGCTCGGTGAGCCGTTAACGGGCTTGTCCGAGTGGGGCCCCGGCATCCCATCCGCGGGGGTCCGGCTTGGGTCAGCTGGTGACCAACTCCAGATTCTCAGCGATCAATCCGTATAGTTCTCGGGTCCATCCGACCGGTCTCGAGGGCTCTCTGCCTTTCTTCTAGAAAAAACCATGGATCGTATCCGGCCGAGACTCGAACGTGGGCCGAGATGCCCGCGGCGCTCGTGCACCCGGGTACTGGCCGCTAGCGGGCCCATCCCTTTCCGCCCCTCACTCTAAAGGTGTCTGGAGCGGTTGTCAAACACATCGGTGGGCCAACCCTCGAACTCCTAGGCCTAGACGGGCCGTAGGAGCGTCTTCAGCTCCGTATCCCTCTTACCTGTGACGGGTCGTGGCTCGTTCGGGGAGGCGAAACGTCTGGTGCGTTTTCTAAGGGGACAGCCATAGGTTGTGTGCGCATGCCCCGCGACGAGACGTGGTGACA